TTTGCAGTCATTCAAGAACCAGTGATGCTCCAGGCTGTTTGATACAGGAAATAATGCTCTTCTTCCTACAAGTAATTCATAAGTAATTTCTTATGGATGACGTTTTTCTTCTATTTGCAGTCATTCAAGAACCAGTGATGCGTCTGGCTGTTTGATACTGGAAATAATGATAGATGTACTGTAGTTATTAGTTCTTGGATTTTTATTTGATGGTGATAATCAAGGCTGTATTTTCATAAAATGTTCATGAGAAAGATTTAGGCTGAAATTGCTTGTATAGCTATTAGCTAAAGTCCTTTTTTTTAAAAATGATTTTCTTTAAATGTGACTTTTTGCAAAAGTTTGGTAACTGATAAACATAAGTTCTGATATGAGCTATTAATATCTGGAGTTCATTTGGAAGTTCCTTGAAACATACTTGTGGTGTTCTAAGACTCTCTGACATGGTTCCTCTCAGTTATTTTTGGGTTGCATATTTCACTTCGATTGTCATGATAGCTTGTTATCTATTTCTTGATGTTAAGTTTCGTGATATTGAAAGTTACATAGCTTTCCTCACTTGTGATATCAAGCTTTTAAATGAATAATCACAATTAATTTAGTAGTTACTATTAAGACTTGGGTTTTATTTTAAGCTCTTGTTTGATAGCCATTATTGTGTAAAAATAATGTTTTGAACAATGATTTTTTGGAGAATGTGTGGTTAAAAATTGGAAACAGATTTATGGTTACATGCAAAATATTTTATTTTGTGAACGTGTTATTAAAAATGAACATAAGAAATAAAAAGTGTGTTTGGTTTATTACTTTCAGTTTTTCAAAGTATTGAAAACGTGCTTGGTCTGTTATTTCTAAAAATGTAATTTTTGAAAGCAATGATAAATTTGTATCATAGAATTAAAAATGCATTTTTGTCGTTTTGAGTGTGTAGTGAAAATTCAAAAACACTCTAGGCATGGAAAACAAGCATTTAAATAAAAATTTAAAACTAAAATTATAAAAAATAAATTGTAAAAAATTCTAGAAAAATTAAAATTATAAAAATAAAAATAGTTCAAGTTTCTAAAGATTTTTTTGCATAAAAAATTCTAAAAACAATATTTAAATGACCACATGTAAAATATCTCAGTAAACGTCAGTAATTTTTATTTTAATATTTTGACGTCAATTTATTATTTACTTTTATTTTAATCTTGAAGCTAGTAAAAATATCGTAAAATTCACCAATTTCTAGAAAAAATATCGTAAAATTCACCAACTTGAAAATGTATATATTAATTGATAATACATTAAAATTTATTGAATAATCAAAATTTGTGGAATAAAATGTTACAAAAGTTCAAATCCAACGTGTTTTCTAGTTTGATATTTTGAGAAATTATTTTCAAGATGACATATCAAATATGTTTTAACCGATCTTAAAGCAGACCTTCAAAACATGAAATTGAAAATGAACTTGAAATTCAAAACAGAAAATTGAAACACATACCAGATGAACCTAATTGTTTTATTTTAAAGGAAGCCAGTCACTTTTCGATGGCCATTATAAAAAGAAATTGGATAAAAATGATATTTTGAATAGTAATTTTTTAGAGCATATATAGTTAAAAAATAAGAAAGAAAAATTTTAAGTTTTCGTTCAAAATATTTTATTGTGTGAATATGTATTTAAAAATAAGTGAGAAATAAATAGTTAGACCCTGTTTGATGGTCATTATTTTGAGAAAATTTAGTTTTGAATAAATATTTTTGGGGACTGTATGGTTAAAAAATATTGGGTTTACGTGCAAAATATTTTATTTTATAAACGTGTGATTAAAAATAAATATGAGAATAAAAAGTCTTGAGATAATCAATAAAAGCTTAATTTAAAGAGAATCAAATGGGGGCTAAATCTTAACTTTGTACTTTTATGCTTAACAGATGTGAGATTTTATTATTTGACACTTTATTAGATGTGTTTTAGATCTCGCAAGTATGTCATATAAATAAGTCAGTCGAACATCATGATTTTAGTGCTTCATTTTGTCATTATAGATTCGAACATGAGCTATTCATTATAAGCTACTAAGTAATATATTTGCTTGTCGATTCTAAATTGATTAGTAAAAAAATTGTGAATTTTGCTACAAGTACATTAGATTTTACACCCTATTATACATAATGTCCGAATGACATTTTCATCGCTGGCTTGTAATGCCCAAGCCAGTGATCAAATGCCACTTGAGCATTAATTGTACAAGGGATGTAAATCCCGCATGTATATGTAGAATAATTCAAAAAATCCTTAATGTATATAGTAGGACCGGTAGCAACTTGGTGTGACACGCCATCAGTTGACTTAGTTTTACTACATGTATATCTTGGTTTACATCATAGTTTATCGAATTTACGCTTAACGCAATCTCACATTAGCTTTCTCATTTTATACATTTAATCTAACCATAATAGTACTTCCACGCCATCAATCCGTCAAAAGAGGTGTATAAGTAGCTTAATCCTTTATCTAGTCACATGTGTCCCTAGTCAATTTTGGAGACATGTCCTGGTTGATTTTGATGGTTCAAAAGCCGTTACTGGAATGTCGACCTACTTAAACTTTGACCATAGACTTCTGCCGGAGGAATTGTGGAAGGAATATCAATCGGGTCTAGACATGTTTTTTCAGTCAAATGTATTTTGGGTCTTGGGTTGTACAAAACCCGTTTTGAAGGAGGGGACACCATTCGAGTCTAGTCTTGTTTAAATTAGTCATTTGACTCATTTTATTTAAGGTTCAAACGATGGGTCTTGATAGTTAGTTCAGCCAATTTTAACATAGGGCATGTTTGATAGCCCTTTATTTTTTAGGAAAAATGGAAAAAGAATTCCAACATCCACTTTTAACCTGTTTGATTGACAATTTTTTTCAAAGAATTCGTTTTCCACCTTTAACCGTCACGTCAATATTTTCCATCTTTTTCTTGAATTCGAATTCTCACCATAATTCATTTTCCAGGCATTGTAGCGCTTTTATTTTATTTTTTCGAATTTTTTTTGTTGGCAATGGAAACAAATTTTAAGAATTATTGTAAAATAATATTTCCCTTTAATTGAAATTTTTCATGCAAAATAAAGTCAAACAAATACCAAAAGATAGATGATTTTTTTTATTTTTTTTGGTTGACAATGGAAACAAATTTCATCCCCAATACTAGTAACATTCATCATTTTAATTGATAATTTTCATATAAAACAAAGCCAAACGAGCACCAAAAAATACTTTTATTTCAAAAAATTTTCACGTGAAAAATTATACCAATAAAATACAATAATTTACAATTCTCAGGAAAACAATTTCTAAACAATTCAATTCCCTAAAATTCGTTTTTAATTCAATTCAATTATATCTTTACAATCAAACGGACCCTAGTTGAAAACCCAATAATCTCAAGTAATTAATACTAAATGTTCTGCTGTTGTATACGAGTTTCTATATATTAAAGATTTTTTTTTTATTTAATTTAGCTATTGATAACAATACCTTTCATACATGTAGCATGCTAGCAATTAATTTTTACTTAAAAATATAATAAAATATATTGAAAAGTAATTGAAACTATTACCTATGAAGGGTTTGTTACAATAATTAGTGTTTGAAAGTTAATTTTTAAAACAATTTTCTCTTTTGAAATTAAGAGATTTTAGAAGAAATCACGCTGGATCAACTTTTATAAATATTTTTTAAATAAAAGAAATATTTTTATAAATTTAAATAAATGAATTTAGACGTAACTTTTGAATCTCAAATCCTTTTCATTTTTTAAAAATCATGTTGAAGGATCCTAAAGAATTCTTCAAAGTCGCAAGGGTCTCTAATTGCTAAAAAGTTATTGCTCTTTACATTTAGAACGTGAGATAATTAATTAATTTTGCAATCAAAAGTATTAAAATCATAGTTTTTTTTCGTTAACATTTTCTATCAGTTAAAAAATCCGTTATAATTTCACTACTTGTTCGATAGTGATTTTGAGAATTGATTTTTGACTATTACGAAAAAAGTGGAGGTCACTTGTGGAAAAAGAAGTCAAAAATTACGGTTAGACTGGTGAAATAACGGTCAAAAATCAATTTTTTGAATCAAAAATCACTCCCAAACGAAGCTTAGATAAATAATCAGTCTCATTAAAAGTTATTAGAAATGGTAATTAAAAATCAAATCAAAATAACAGTAATGAAGATTACAAACAACACTAACAGGTGACCCGCATCACCTACTCCTTCCTCGTTTCACTTCTCCGACGAAACTTAAGCATATAACGGCAAGGGACTAGCACGAGATGATTTTCCTAGAGCCTCCGGCAATTGCTTTCCATCGGATTCATAATAAATAACGCCGGAGAAATCCAACGGCTCACACTTATCTCCCATCAATATAGTCCTCTGCCACAGCCCTTCGTCATCTCCACCAAAATTTTCGTCGGAATTTTTCTTGCGCCGGAATTTCATCACCTTGTTGCTCACGGTTATTAAAAGTTGCTTCGGCTTAGTCAACGGCGAATTTGGCGGACCGGAAGCCAGCTTTTTGGCAGCCCGGCTAGCACGTTTTGTGCATAGAGACCAAAAAGAAGTGAAGGGTTGTATTACAGTTATGGCCGGTTTCTTGAATGAGCGTCCGCCGCCGCTGCCAGCGGTGCTGTTGGGAGTGCACGGCGATGTTATACGCACCATTTTCTGGTTCTTGGGTGAGCAATGGAGGATTATGGTATTGTTTATATAGGTGAAAAGGTAAGTAGGATTTTGCCTGTGTCGTGTTTGGTTTTCAGAATTCGGTCAACTGTATTTATTTTGCATTTTATAGATTATAAGATGTCATTATCTGTAGATAATGCGGATTATTGTACAATTATTTAAATATTAGTGAGTTTGCATTTTTAAATTCAATGGTTCTCCCTTTATCTCTATTTTCTTTTGAATATTTATTTATAGGTATAATAATAGGCTATTAGGGGGGTTCGGACTTCAAACACGTGAGACTTATGATTGTAGAAAATAAGAAATTTGGCATTCGTCTTCAATTTTTGTATTTTATTATTTATTTATGTTAAATAAAATTTAATATAAAAAATCCTCAATATTAGCCCCCATTTGATAGCAATTTTTCACCTCAAAAATTGATTTTTTGACCATCATACATTATTTCAACCACCATTTTGACTTCTTCACTTATAGGTAAGACCCACTTTTTTTCTTTAACGATCAAAAAATTAATTTTCATAATTACTAGCGAAAAGACCTTACACTTAATTGCATGTTCCTCCGTTCATTTTTGCCTTCAAAATTCATGTAAAGTGGCTAATTTATCATTCCCTTTATGACCATGCTACACTATCAGACCTGTAACGGGCCTGGTAGTGCAGCCCTCCTCACAGTTCAGGGTGAGAGTGGATTTTTGGAGGGTATTTTTTTAATAATGGGGTCCGCCGAAATAAGAGAAAATGGTAGAGGAGCATTATTCTTCCCTTTATATATCCACAAAGCAACTAATAAAAATAAATTAATTAAAAATTGCAGCAAAAATTCCAACTCTTTCTAAAAATATACAAGTATATCATCTTCTTCGGGTCTTCTCCAAGGACCCCACCCAAATCATCCCCAACTCGATCCCCCCCACGCCCACGACCACTATCTCCTAAATAACATTGGAAGTCACTCAATTTTGAATGTATTTCATTTTTCCAAAATAAATAAATAAATAAAATTATGAACTTCTTAAAATCAAAATTTAATACTAATTTTATCAAGACGTTCATAATTGTTACCACTTGTCTAAAGAAGTAATAATCCCGAAAGAATCTAGAACAAGGCCTAACTGAAATGAAGCAAACTATCGATTTTGTCGTAAACACTCTTACGCCATTATACCAATCGTCTCATAGAGGAATGTGCATTTAAAAGATCTTTCATACTGTGTACAATTTTAAAATTCGTTCGATACACGATTAGTAACGAGAAAAATAAAAACAATAGCTATACAATGCTAAACATTTCGTGGAGCTCATTACTCTTTTTTTCGTTACAATCCTATTATAATTTCTTCAAAATAATCTCTAAACTCATTGAATTAGATTTAACATTTTCATTAAAAATTGAGAATCTTGTAAGTGACAAATGGACTTCTTATTATTATTTTACATTGACGTTACTAGTTAAAAACATGTTTGATAGTGATTATGAGAATTGATTTTTTGATTATTAGAGAGAAAAGTTGGTTCCACCTATGAGTGAAGAAATAAAAAATGACAATTGAAATAGTAAAATAATAGTTAAATAATTAATTTTTTGGGGTAAAAATTGCTACCAAACGGGTGCTAAATTTTTAGTTAAACACTAGTTACATCTTCAACTTATAAAATTCAACGGTGTTAAAATCGCATTTTAATAATCAAGACTTTCGGACTAAAAATTTGACTTTGCATAGTTGTCCTTAAGTCTGACCAACAACTCGAACTAACTTCGATAAAATTAAAAAATATCAACTGTCACGTGCAATATAGAATTCTGGTAAACGACTACTTTCATGTTGGAAATTTTTAATTCACGTGCAATTTAAGTGCTTGTTTGATAAGAATTTTAATAATTGATGTTTTAACTATTAGAGATAAAGTGAGTTCTATTTGTAAGAGAAGAATTCAAAGTGACGATTGAAATAAATGGTCAAAACATTAATTTAAATTGATTTAAAATTTGTACCAAACAAGTACTAAAAATATTAGTAAAGTTAAATGGCACGTGTCCTTTCTTTAAACCGCACGACCCAGCCACGAAATAGAGGAAAAAATCGTTTTTAATTCCTTCACGATCAGGACATTTCCAGTTTAATAATTTAAGGATTTAAAGGTGAATTGCAAACTTAGTCCCCTACCTCTGGCTAAAGTGACAGTCTCATCTATATAACCTCATTTTATCTGGTTTTTATCCCTATCTTGGAGAAATTAGAATTTTTACCACTTTCTAACATAATCCATCCAAAACAAAATTTAAGTGAAGTCAACTGACATGCACATGCCTTTTAATGAAAGGTAAAATTGTACATACACTAAAATTATTAAAAAACAAATAAAAATATCAGAAAAGGAAAAAGGCAAAAAAAAATCTATTCCACCCCATCTTTTCAATTATTATTTATTAGCCCTTGTTCGAGCCCCTTTTTTGGGAAGAATGGATTTTTGAATAGTGTATTGATGAAAAATGTGTGGTTAAAAAATAAAAAAAAAAATTTGAATTTGCGTGTAATATTATTTTATTGAAAAATATGTGGTTGAAATGATGTCAAAATAATGTTGAAAAATGTATTTTTCAACCAAACAATGATCTTTTTGAAAAATATATGATGGAAAGTAGGAAAAATTATGGTATCGTAAAATGTATAGTTGAAAAATTTTTAAACTCTTTCAAACAAACCCAATAGCAGATCCAAATAATTACAAGCTTTGCTACATGCACACTGACATTTTGTTATTGATTGTTGAAAAAATTAATTTCTATTGGCCAATGACAAAATGCAACTTATGCATGTCACTTAAGGTATATATTGAACATACAAGTAGAATAATTCAATAAATACACCTATTGATGACCACAAACTGTCATCGCATAGCGAGAACACCTCACTATAGGTGATAATCACCATTTTTCTTTGTTCATGAATTTGATTTCGTAGTCTTTTCTTTGCTTTCTTTGGCGTTAGCAACCCTAGGAGGTCTAATAAGTGTAAGATTAACGATAATTTGATCTTATCCAGTACGGCGTTGAGTTGAAGACAATTATTTTATTGAGTTTTGCTACAGGTACCCTGAGTTTGACATTTAGGGTTACCTGCTACTCACATGGGGGTCGGGGCCCCACGCTAATAAATGTGTGGAGCCCGACCCCCTTGCTCACATCGGGTAACCTGATGTATCAAACGTTGGGTACAAATAACATTTTCCTATTTTATTTCTAGTTTGTTTTGTTATTTGTCCTTTTATATTTGGAATAAACGACTGGACAATTTTGCCCTTTATTAAAGGGAATGTACTGGTCAGATATAGGAGCTGTTTAACGGCTGTCTAATTGAGGATATAAACCAGACAAATTTTGGGACTAAACTTGCAAATTACCCTTTAATTTAATTATCATATATTCCTCTTCTTCATTGATCTGAGAAAGAAGGCGAAGAAGAGGAGGATCCAAACCCTAACAAACGACACCGTTCCTCCCCTCTTCCTCCTCCAGTCTTCCAATGGCAGAGAAAACTCATGAGAGCATAAAAACAATCCCGCCGTACATGAAGGCGCTATCGGGGTCACTGGGAGGCGCAATGGAGGCGTGCTGCTTACAGCCCATTGATGTCATCAAGACTCGTCTCCAGCTGGACCGGTCCGGTTCGTACAAGGGAATTATCCACTGCGGCACCACCATAGCTAGAAATGAAGGTTTGCGGGCTTTATGGAAGGGATTGACTCCATTCGCCTCGCATTTGACTTTGAAGTATACGCTCCGGATGGGCTCCAATGCGGTCCTGCAGTCCGCGTTTAAGGACGCGCAAACGGGTAATCTGAGTCACCATGGGAGGCTGCTTTCCGGATTCGGGGCGGGCGTGCTAGAAGCTCTTGTTATTGTCACGCCGTTTGAGGCAAGTTGATTTCTTTATTTAATTAGTTAAAGGGGTTTAAATCTTAATTATATCCATATCACTCTTGTTTTGATCGAGTCTTTATTTATACTAGTTGGCTAAACAATAATTAAATCTTTAGTGATGGTCTACTTACTGTTTCTTTTTTTTTCCCCTCTCCATAATTCAAGTTCTTGATTAGCTTTTATTCTGCAAGCACTATCGAGTCTGGTCATGAAATCAAGTGGAAGGGGGTGAAATCACAAATTGACAACATATTGCTCTGAATAATGGGTGTGATTGATTATTATGTTTAATTGATTAGAAAATGCAAATCATTGAGTTTTTAGAATTCCATGGATTGGATGTTTGATAATCAATTCTAATATCACATTATCTTATAACTGAAAGTTTCATTGTGAGTTAATTTAACTGCAATTGTCAATGCTGGGAACATGAATTCTATGTAGTATGGTTTAAATGAGTAATATGTGTGACTGATAAATGTATATCATTTTGTAATTTAGATTACGAAAGAGACTAAAATTGATTCTGATTTCTTCAGAATGTTTGGTCTTTGATTAAGTGAACCATGGGTCATGATGGTTGCAGCTGGATGGCCATTTCTCCCACAATTGATACATAACAATCAATTGCTAACTGTTTCATCCCCGTCATGATTGTTATCTCCAGCCTTCAGCTGTTCATTTACGCCCTATTGTAGCAGCTAGTTACTGCACATACTATTTTGAGTATTGTAGAGGTAGCATTTTAGTTTCCCTTCCCTAACTTCCAAAAATTCGGTTACTTGCCTGCCCTCTTAGTCTGATTCATCTATTTCTGTGCTTGACAGCTTTGATACTTAGCTTAAATAATGCTACCTGTTGTCCTTGTGTATATGAATCCTGCATTACGTGAAGGATGCGATTCACATGAAAATCTCGAAAGTTGGATTTTTCCATTATCTTTTTCTTTTGGCTATCTTGACACTACGTGATAGCGCGGGCTTTCTTTTCTGTGGAATGTATGTCTAAACTAGTTAGGATGACAAAATTTAATCGATGCAGGTGGTGAAAATCAGACTACAGCAGCAGAAAGGATTGAGCCCTGAACTTTTGAAGTACAAAGGACCTCTACATTGTGCTCGTATGATCATCCGCGAAGAAGGTGTGCTTGGTCTGTGGGCAGGAGCTGCACCAACTGTTATGCGCAATGGGACAAATCAGGCTGCCATGTTTACAGCCAAGAATGCATTTGATGGGATTTTGTGGAACAAACATGAGGGTGATGGGAAAGTGCTTCAGCCATGGCAGTCCATGATATCAGGATTTCTTGCAGGGACGGCTGGTCCAGTATGCACCGGGCCCTTTGATGTTGTAAAGACGAGGCTAATGGCTCAGAGCCGTTCTGGAGGTGAGTTGAAGTACAAAGGCATGGTCCATGCTATCAAAACTATATATGCTGAGGAAGGTTTACGTGCATTGTGGAAGGGACTGCTGCCGCGGCTTATGAGGATCCCACCTGGTCAGGCCATTATGTGGGCTGTAGCTGACCAGATAACTGGATTATATGAGAGGAGATATATGAAGAATGCATTAATATAAGACCAATTTTGCACTCTCTCTCTTCATAAGGTTCCTATGATGTTTGAGGCACTGAAATTACGAGGTTTCGAGTTCTTTAAAACTTATTAAATCAGAAAAGGCAACTATTCAGATTTTCTTTACCCCATTCTCTTTTTAAATCCGGCGAACAAATGGGTATCTTTTTCTTTCATTTACTTGCTTCAATGAAGCTAGGACGTAGATGAGGAACTCTATTGATGATAAAGTGCTTGGAGCCGTTCTTGAAACAGGAGTTTGTTAATTCTGGTTTTTGTTCATTATTGTAGTAGGTGGTTTCATTAAAGAAACCACCTTTTGGATTCCTATAAGAAGGGCCTTAATTTCTCCATATTTTTCAGATCAATCTCTCATTTTTTTGAATTTGTGAAATCTGTATGCAAGAAACCTTGGGATTGTTAATTGCTATGACATTGTAATTCATTTAGCGCCAACCAGACGAGATTGTTTATTAATGCATGCATTCGTACTGTTAATTATCCCGACTCCTAAGAATGTTTCTGTTATTTCTAATGCTAATTTAATTCTGCGAATTCGAGTCACTTTGGGACATGTTAATATCTTATGTAGAATGAATTACGAGTAGAATTGCCCCCCGGGGCATAACCCAGTTGTGTAAAGGACACGAGTGAGGTAGTCTCAGCATTGCTGGTAGCCGCAGTGTGGGGGTTCGATTCTTGAGATATGGAATTGAACTCTTTGTGGGCATTAGTGTACAGGCAAACTCTTGTTAACTGACCTGTTAGGGCACATCCCATGATTTACCTCCTTCACGATGGCGGGGCGATGGGGCCCCAACAAGGTTGGAGTTCAACCTTTTTTTAATTACAAGTAGAATTCAGAGGTACTTGTGTGGAGGACTGCCCTTTGGAGTATATTTTGCTTTGCAGGTGGAAGAATCTTTCATTATAATTTAGGACTCATATTTATACAAAAGGAAAGAAACAAAATTTTAGAGAAAAAGTAAGTCTGGGAGATACTGACCATTAAGCAATTTAATTGTTCAAAAATGCTATTTGTACATCACCTTTTTTTTTTCTTGGCATCTGCTTTATGCTGGCTTTCATGTATGTTTTCTGCACATGATAATTACTTTAATCCTTTTCTTTTACCTTGTGTTTCTTTTCTGTAACTTCCAAAGTGGAAACAGCAGATCGAAACTTTGGATAGTGGTTTAGAGAATCTTACGGCTTAAATTCACTTCTGTGCAATACCAAACTACAGTAACTTATCTACCATTGAAAACAGGGGGTTTTAACATTTTCTTGATTTCAAACTTATAAAAGAACCGTTACAATATTGTGATTGGATTATTGAGTTGTACAAGAACTAATTTCTTCCTCAATGCTCCCGGCTAAGCGTCCTCTGGGCCCTTTGCCTCTTTAAAGTGGATTCGTTCATCGGAATGATTAGGTGTAAGCAGGGGCGGAGCCATATACTTTGGGCAGTCCTTGTGCCCCAGTTAAAGAATTGCCATTGTTTTTCATCACAATTGCAGAAGGACCTGGTAGGGGGAAGAAGAAATTTGGAAAATGAAGGGCAGGTACGGGGGGATCATTATACTCCTTTGCAACAAAGAGACGATGGAAATGTCTGGTCATAGCTGTTCTGGGTCTCGTGTTTCTTTCCATGCTGGTTCCTAAACAACTTTATAGGCATTTTACGAGTCACTTCGTTATAAAGAGAATTTTTTTACACTTCAAATTTTGCCCGCACCGAAATTTTTTTCTGGCTCCTCCCTTGGGTGTAAGGACACGTAGGTGTTGAATTGGGATTAAATGAATATAGACATCATATTGTATGGAAAAAAGTTGGAGGTACAGGGGCTTGGTTCACAGGCCCCAACCAAATGTGAGAAAAGGTGGGGGCGGGCCCCACCTTTTTTTAAAATTGCCGTGGGGCCCAACATCCCCCCTATTGTGAGGGGTGTGTGCCGAGCTCCTGTACGTGGAGCTCAGTTCTATGGTATTTACATATGTTTGGCCAAGTTGTAGTTCTTTGTTTTAAATTAGTGATCATACTCTTATAGACTCGTTATTTTGCAAAATATCTATTGCTTTACATTATGGATGCATGTAGGAAAAGTATATGTTGTGATGATAGTGAGTGAAAACTAATCGGTTACGTAATTTATTGTAAAGTTATTGTAAAATAGTATTTGTCCTCCTTTGTTCGTGTATTTTATTCTCTATGGCGACTAAATTCATAAGAAAAACACTAATCCATTTTTCATCACCATATAAAGAGAATAACTTATGCTGAGTATGACTCATTTTGAAGAACATATAAATATTACTCACTCGACCACCTCTCGTTTATAATTTAAGTTGTTCATTAACACTTTCAAATATACTTTTAATTAGTTATTACTAAATTTGAAAAAGTCCATTATCAATATTTTGTGATTAGTAGTGACTACTTGGGACCCAGAGGTCTCATTCATGGTTAAAGAACAATACACACAAATACTCCTAATTCCCCAAAATAACAGCTTAGCTTCATAGATAATGCTGACATCAAAATTGAGTCAGCAAAATGTTAGGTTTCAGTTTCCATCACCGTTCTTAAACACATGAGATTGAGAGCAGAAAATTACTCACAGAAAATAGTGGAAAATTCTTCCAAAGATACTCCAATATTTAAATATTTTATTTATTGCAAATTCTGGAAATACTGAATATCGAGAAATTTAATACTTTGCACAATTGTATATCACCATGGCTTAAATACCTAGCCACAAATATCGTTGGATAAAATATATAATTATGTTACCTTAAAAAATAATATTGGATTTGGGAGACTAATATTACGTATGAAAATTATTATGATACACTTCAATATCATTTCAATTATAAAAAGCATGATGTCACGCGTCCACTTGTTATAAAAATGAATATTTTATGTACCAATTTTCGGGGTGTATTTCAACAAGAAGACGTCAATCGCTGAGGAACAAGAATCTTTAGAACTTTGAAACTTGTACAAGATCATGTTTAGATGCCTCGAACATGGACAGTACTCATTTCAGTGCAAATTATGACAAATCAACTTTGATGTTAGTGTACTATCATTATGAAAATGAAGTATTCGAGGACATATGTCACAAAAACACCAAAAAACTAATAAATTTTGAAAATGAAAACTTAATCTTAAATATCAGCAAAATAATGAAAAATGTAAAGTCAGAAAAATGATTAGAATACTTTTATTGAACTCTTATAAATAGATCATTATACGACTAAAAGGAAAAGATCAATCGATCTCAATCTAAAAAATTTCTCCCTTTCTTGAATACAGACTTGAATGGAATAAATAAATAAATAAATAAAAATCGAGAGGAAGATACTCTAGATAATTTGAGAGAAAAATATACAGTTTGATTTAATAAATATTTTGGTAGATTTTAATTTAAATAAAAGTCAAACAATTAATTTTAACCACATATTTTATGGATCCACAACTTTTCAACAACCCATCTCATTAACGTTTATCAATATTTACTAAAAAATTGATTTTAATCGTGTTTGAGCTCCTTATTTTAAAAAATTGATTTTGTAATATTTATTTTGGGATAATGTGGATTAAGAAGTAGGAAAATATTTTGAATTTATATGCAAAATTATTTCATTGAAAGAATATGCTATCGAAAATGAGTAGAAAAATTGAATTTTAAAATAATGAGAATCGAGAATTTTTATGAAGCCTTTCATTTGCTTCTCTTTGATGGAAGTTTGATTTTCCTAAAATGTATCCTAATTTTTGGCCTACCCTTTTTGTTCAATAAAATCCCAAAGTGGACGATTGACTCGTTCCAGACTAGAAATAATCTCAGATTTTCCCCATAATGTACATGAATAGTTGCTCTTGGGGTGGCCAAATAAGCCCAAAAATGGATCTTTCGTGTATAATCTTGAATAATAGAAATTGGAGTTACATTTCTTTTTTTATTTTCATTCAAGAGTTCTTATGTGTTTCCGACAAGTTATAGCAATTGCACCTATTAAAGCGACTAACGATTTCAATTCTTCTGTGTTTCAGCAGTAACATATTGTTCCATGGAGTAGTTATCCGCTCCACACTTGGCAACCCAGAGTTTACCGTGGACAGATCCTTTCGATGACCTATATTGTATTGAAAGTATATCTATATAATCTAATCGATTGCATTAATAAAGGGTCTTTCGATCTTATTCAAATTTCTATCAAACCTGCTAGTGGAGGAAGACCTCCTAAGAATAAGAGACATAGGGCTCTTTTAACTCTATTCCCTATTTTATCCCTATGAAATATCAGATGAAATAAAACGTTTAGAATCAGGGAAAATATATGCAAATGCAAATTTCCCTTTTTTATTTTTTATTTTTCGTTGAAACCCTACCGAGTCGCTAAAAACACGAAACGTTATATAAGTACTTATACAGTGTCACATACAGTGCCGACCTCAAACTCAGAAACTTTACCCATCCCAGCCGTTCATTGTACTATTCTCGGTTTGTATTGCTATAAACCCTAGTTTGAGAAGCTTCTCAATCTGAAACCGCTGCAGTTCCTGCTGGTACATATCTTTGTGTTGATTCTGTGCGTTCTTTTTTTTTTTTTTGATAACTTCAATTTTTAATGGTCATTATTTGTTTTGCTGTTTTGTTAATTTTGTTGTTGTAGTAAAAAACGATGTCGGATGATGAAAGGGAAGAGAGGGAGCTGGATCTGAGCTCGCCTGAAGTTGTTACCAAATACAAATCCGCTGCAGAAATCGTTAACAGTTACTACCTTTATTCCTCTTTCTCTGTGGATATAGATGACTTTATTTATCTGTGTATCAATAGTTTTTGTATATGTGTATTAATTTATTTGTTATTTGTGTTCGTCGTGGTGGTTGTGTTGCTTTGTAAATCTTTAAGTGAGACAATGAAAAGAATTAAACTTTTAAGGTTTTTGTTTATTCTTGACTGACGTGTTTGATTCTCCATATAATGCTTGACGAATTTCCGAAATAATGTTCAATGTATGCAGAGGCATTACAGTTTGTGCTGTCAGAATGCAAGCCCAAGGCTAAGATTGTTGACCTTTGCGAGAAGGGGGATGCTTTCATCAGAGAGTAATAATTTTTCTTTGTTATTTATACGATCAGTGTTATGTTAGGGTAAAATAGAATCTTTAGTATTAATTTTATGTAATATATATGTAAATTTACGTCTGTGACATAATTATGGAGCTCACTGGAATTAATTGTTTGAATGGTGGGTTAAATTTTTAGTCAAACTGGGAATATGTACAAAAATGTGAAGAAGAAAATCGAAAGAGGTGTTGCCTTCCCGACTTGCATATCTGTAAACAACACTGTATGCCACTTTTCTCCATTGGCCAGTGATGAGACTGTGCTGGAAGAAGGCGACATGTTGAAAATGTAATATTCCTTCTACATGCTCATATACAAACACATACATTTTTTTTCTCAACTTGGAAATTTCACGAGTACAATGGTGGGTTTTTGTTTGATTCAGTGATATGGGATGTCACATAGATGGGTTTATTGCCGTAGTTGCTCACACCCATGTTCTTCAAGAAGGCCTTGTGTCTGGCAGGGCTTCTGATGTTATTGCCGCAGCAAATACTGCAGCTGAGGTTGCTTTGAGGCTAGTGCGACCTGGGAAAAAAGTATGTTATATTTCTAGTTTTGCTTCTTTTTTTGTTGAGTGCAGTCTTGTTGGACTCTTGACTGATTACTGTTGAATGAAAAAGTCGTGTTCTTGAACGTGTCGACTTGGTTTGTTTATGAACTTCACTGATATTTGTTTTCCATGTTTCCAATATTTCCAATTTTATTTGTTTTCACATATACAATGGTATTCATTTACTGGTGATGAGCTAAATCTCATTTAAGGCAGCACTGCAACAATTATTTTGTTTTTTGTTCATCCCTTTTCAAGTTTCAATCTATTCGTGTCGGCATTTTCTAATATCAATATAAAGAATTTTTCTACATCAATTTCTTTATTTTCTGGATAGAAAGGCACTAGCACCTTATTTCTTATTATATCCTTCCAGGTCCCCTAAATGATGAATACTTTGTATTAGCTATGGATTACATCTAGATGAAGCTATAGTCATAGTTACTCTGATTGGGGATGTCAACTTCTTGATACTAATGTCAATCTAAATACTGCACCAATTACTTGGGATTTAATTGTTAATATTGGAAGGATGCTGTAATTTAATGTGTCTGTGAGAACCTTTAAAAAGAAGTAAATAGATATTTAATTAAGAATTAGTCAGTGTCAGTGAAGAAGGCAACTTTGCCGAGGCGATCAATTCCTCTTGGTCCTCCTCTTTTCCCTGTTGCCTACAATTTAATTGGCTTGCTTGAAAATTCCGGCTGGTGAATTACATTTTGTGTTGTAATACCAGCCAATTCTAGTGACCCAAAATCATGTAATTAATAAGAAAGCGTTCAAAATTTTAAGTTGATTTTAACATTTATTCGACTATCTGATAATAAGTATTTTCAGTTTCTTTTGTTGACTTGATATTTTCTTTTTGAACTAAATACTGCTTCTCTTTTTCATGCATTTTTAAACCAAGGATATTTGCCGTTTCGCTCTAACATGATTCTCTACTTGATGATGATAATCACTGGCTATGGATCTTGCATCCGATGAAGCTTGTTATAGTCATAGTTACACTGATAGAGCAATCATGTTTTGTTGTTTCTTTCACTTTATTAGATTGAGTTTTCCTTCTTTTCTGTCATTTCCTTATTTGACTGGTATAGTCCAATAAGGTACGTTCGGTCTTGAAACCATTTTACTCAATTGTTGCAATTGATAACATTGTCAGCAACGATTGATAATAAACTTATGCAGATAGCATAGTGGTATAGCACAGGACAGAGCTGTTATTTATTTGATGTTCATTATCGTCTTCTTTTTATGGCTGGAAAAAGTTCGACCCCACACCACCCTTCTAAATAAATATAGAATGGAAAAAGCTGAACTATTTAGCGTTTTGGGTTTTGACCCCAACCTTTTTATTTTTGGAATCTTTTGATCATTGAAGTTCACAATCTAAATTACTCGTCAATTAATTCAAGCAGATGGTCTGTGAAATGGAAAATAAATGACATTCTTCTTTGTTCTATTCAGGCTGGAAGAACACATTTTTGCAAGTTGATCAATTCCCATGATGTTTCCTCTGGCATGTTGTCAATATAGATATAGGCTGTATATATGTTTTTTTAACTTATTTACATGCTGGAGTTCTTGATATTTTACCTAGTAGTTTCTGGCATCTGTCTGCGCAATTAGCCATAAGCTTAAATATCAATTAGCTTAGAGATGCATGGCTTGATTCTTAGATAACGTGACTTGGCAACAATAAAATTGTACTTGCTAACTCGGTGATATTTTGACAGTCATTTAAACATTTTCTTCTCGTGAATATGAAATTAATTGTGATCTGTAACAGCACTCTTAATTTTCATACAATCCGGTTCACATCTTTAATGACTTGTGTTTCTGTTGCTGGCAGAACAAAGATGTGACTGAAGCAATTCAGAAAGTTGCCACTGCTTATGACTGCAAGATTGTTGAAGGGGTCTTAAGTCATCAAATGAAGCAATTTGTGATAGATGGGAACAAGGTTGTGCTTAGCGTCCCAGGTCCTGAGACGAGAGTAGATGAAGCTGAATTTGAGGAAAATGAGGTTTATGCTATTGATATTATTACAAGTACTGGCGAAGGAAAGGTATATCTCTATGTTGTATGCTTTTATAGCAGCATGAATTAAATTTGGCTTTTGTGCACCCAAGCATTACTAACTCAGAATTTGTGTCACCCTTGCAGCCTAAGCTGTTGGACGAGAAACAGACGACTATTTACAAAAGGGCTGTTGAAAAAAATTATCACCTGAAGATGAAGGCCTCGCGATTCATATTCAGCGAGATAAATCAGAAATTTCCTATCATGCCATTTACTGCCAGGTTTACTTTGCTATTATTTGTGGCTTTTAAGTGTGTTTCTACTATTGCCCCAGTTCTTTTGCTAAGATAATGAGCAGGATTAATGTATAACAGGGCTTTGGAAGAGAAACGTGCTCGACTGGGACTAGTGGAATGTGTTAATCACGATCTTTTGGAGCCATATCCAGTTCTTCACGAGAAGTCTGGTATGAGCTATATGACAACCAATATTGTTAAATAATTTAAAATACTTGTCAACTTACTAAAATATTTACGAGTTGTATGATTTATTTGCTACATATGTCAAAGTTTGACAGCTGGTTTGCAGGTGACCTAGTTGCGCACATCAAATTTACTGTATTGCTGATGCCAAACGGGTCAGATCGCATCACGTTTCACCATTTACAGGAGCTGCAGCCCGCCAAAACAATAGATAATCCAGAGATAAAAGCATGGTTAGCTTTGGGCACAAAGACCAAGAAGAAAGGTGGTGGAAAGAAGAAAAAAGGTTAGTTGGACTACAATTTTTCCCTCGCATCATTGCATTCGACAAATATATACATTTCTTTCAGACACTACAACATGTGAATATTTGTGTGAAAAATGTTATTATGCAGGTAAGAAGGGTGAAAAAGCTGCGGAGTCGGCAGATGCTGAATCCATGGACGTGGAACCAAATGTCACAACCTCTGAAGAATGAGAAATTTCTGACCTGTATTTACTCCATCCAATTTTGGTCACTACTGTATTTGGTTGCCTTGAGTTCTATGATTTAGTCATAAAATGTTGATCTTAATTTATATCTCCATTGTGGCTTCTGAAAGTCCAGTGTAGCCAACCCTTTTGTGCATCCTTAAAGTTTTAGATAGAATTTTTTTTTTTTAAATATAATTGAAGCAGCAAATAGACCTGAAGAATTAAAATAAAGTCATGTAGTTAGCCACAAGGATTTCCATACGAGTGTTGATCCTGTTGGATTAATTTGGTGAATTATTTTCTTGATTTTCAGAAGTGTGAATTTTGTTGGATGGTGACCAGCAATGATAGCTCAATATTTTTATTGTAAACAAGATCTTGTCATGAGCGATCTAGCTGGAGTAGCCTTTCTTAGAAGCCGTAACTCGTTTTTCACTTTGTACTGTTACAGAACCATCTGTGTTCATTTGCAGTCTGCGTCACAAACGTTTAACATAGTGCATAAAAATCACTTTGGCAGAGAGGGATTCTCAATCTCAAATCAGTGCTAAAGCCCAGTATCTATTTTAATGTTTAAACAGAAAGCGAACATTGTACAAAACTCTTATCATCAAAAACATCAAACAATGCATGAAATGCACAAAACTATCACCCTTCTGCCTATAAAAACTATGCCATGAAGGGGCTGCACTATTTACAGTGTTGGTTGTGCTGTAAAATAAGAGAGAAAAAATGAAAGTATGTTACCAAATAAATGAAAACAAGACCGGCCAAAACAATGGAGTTCCAAGAAAATCAAAGAGTGTGTGAAGCACTAGCCCGCAAGTCAAAGAAGCTTCGGTAAAACCTACAAAAAGAAAGGAAATTCGACAGTTAACACAGTTCATGCACAGGCAATAATTTTAGCAAGCAGTTCAGGAACTGACCAACTATAGTTCCTGAGTAGAATTATGTATCTAAAGGCTGACTCAAATGCTAACTCACCAAATCAAAGCCCAAAACTAGCACGTTGAACTCTAATGACTAGTCGAGGCACGTGATTACTTCTGTATAGAGGTATTCCCCTGTTGATTTGTTCTTTAACAGCCCTCAAGTCCAATTAATTGTGCAATCAATGTCCTTTAGTTCAATTCAAGCCCTTCAATTTCTAACGTGGAATTAGTCCCCAAACTTCCATTCAACGACCAATTTATGAAGACCAATATTCCAACAGGGGACTAATTACACTGGACTTTCCTTCCTCAGTTGCTTTTATAATTCATTTAGTACTCAGATGATGCTGGTCTAATGAATAGCTTTTTAAGTTCTTTACATGTATTACTGCATTTCTGTTCTTCTAAAATCTACTCTTGTTATGATAGTTAAAAACAAGAGTTAAGGACTTCTATGTGACTGTGACCCCTATACCTAAGGTTTCACCCTTCGACATAATAGGTCACTTGCTATTGCACCCACACCTGAATGCTTAAAGTGAACTTGTGACTGTTGTGGAGCCTTCTTTTAAAATTTTACAAATAATCACACATAACCTGATTTTACTGTTGAAAGATTTTTTAATGCTTTAGAGTTGGCTGGGCTTCGAAGTAAGTCAAATTTACGTCTAAGTTACATATTTTGCCAAACCTGATTTACAAAATTGCTTATATTTCTGTTAAACTTAATTTTTCGAGATGATAAAAATAAGCACCCCCACCCACCTGGATTCATTCCTTCCAATGGAATGCAGTAGTTATTTCTAGGATTAAGCAACTTACCCTTTCCACTGGCTCACGCGCAAATACATAAAACTGCTCTCTCCATTGTATGCATGAAAGTCACCTCTAGCCTATGGCATTTTTAGTGCCTGTTTTAATTGCCCAAATGCTGCAGGGTGCATTCTGGAAATGGCAGCATTAAATGATTCCCCATGAAGAGTTGCACAAGTTTGGAGATTTTCCCTCACTGAGTTCTCCAAGGAAACCTGGTTTATTGGGTCAGAGAATTTGATCTGCAAATGAGACACCTAAATAAGTAAAAGATTATCAGACCAAATATACGTGATTCCATGATATACAAAAGCAGTATACCTGTCTCCTCCTCAACTCTTTGCTAGGAACTCGTGGGCTGCTGGAGTAAGTGTTATCACTACTGTAGTTCAAGTAAATTCGAGTTTCAATCAGAAAAGAATATTAGAGGATTTGTCAACCTGATTATACTAAGACAAGGACAATGACATATATCAAACCTTGATTCCTCTTCATTCAAGTCCTCACTTCCACCCAATATCACACTGGTGCATACGCTACAGAGAATGAATCGCATCAACATTGCATTAAGGAATAAATCACTGCCGCTAGAATAGCACAAGATATTATCACAATGAATTTGAAGGAGTACCTTAGGATCTGATCAAGTTTATCAAGTACTTGCGGCAATCTCAAAGTTAAAATTATTGAAAGAGCTAAACCAAATGTCTTCCTCTGAGTGGAAATTACATTGTCAACCTGCAGATGTTTCAAAGGGGGAAATGTAAGAAGAAAGCTCCAATTAGAAATTTATATTAGAGAGGAAAAAAAGGTAGCGAATTGAAACTAAATTCTAATTAATTGTCAAATGAGCAATGCAAAATCACGGTGCTGCATAATGCATATTCAGAATATGTAGGTGTCGATGATACAGTCTTGAGGCCATCGGAGAGATAGCACCTCGAAGGAGCTGTAGGAACAAAAATGCACAATATTCCACAAATCAATTCCAGACATCATGACAGCTTCAGTGTTACCAAAAAAAGTCATATAACAAGGCCAAGGGAACTTCCCTTTGCACCTCTTCTTAAGTGCTTCGCCAAGAGTATATAAAAAAGACAAACTCAAATGTGCAAGAACTTTCGTGTACATCTAATAACATGGCATCAAGCAAGGATTACACAAATCCTAACAAAAGCATAAGCTGTGGCATCTGCAAGTGGGCTTTGCTAATGTAGCACAAATGACAAAAGACAACACCAAGATGCCCAGAAAATCTGAAGTGGTGAACCATGCAGGTATCATTACACACTCATATTTTTCCAGGATGAAACAAACAGCTTTATGGTAATTACATCACAACTAATACACAGACAAATTCTAACCTTGTCAAGCCATACATCTACCAGGCAAAGAAGTACGCTTTCTTCACTTGGGAATCCAGCTTTCTGTAAGAGTGCTAAAAGTGATGGTTCCGATGTCAGTTGCGCAAGATAGTTAGTGTTCATGACTAAAACCCTTGCTAGTATGGCAGCTGAGGATGCTTTAACAGCTGTTTTAGAAGGATCAATATCATCTCCTCCAGTCAAGCATATGACGATTAATTTCTAGCAAGATATTGCAAAATTTGAACTTAATAAAACTGTCTACAGTGGGTAATATAGAAAATGGAGAAACCTAAGGATGCTACTAGAAAATCGATCAGAGGCAAAGCAAAGAACCCAATTACCTGAATAGTTGTGCTAATTAACTGGGGTACTTCGGTCGGGAAACACTGCCAGATTGGAAAAGCAGATGAATATTATTTAGTCAAAGTTCATTTAATGTCCAAAGCAATTGCAACTTTTTCAAAGTCAAATCTCAAACAAGATGGCATTCAGTTGCAACAGCTTATTTACAGTCACAGACTAGAGTACCAAAGCCGCCGTTCAAAAGGCCAAACCACTGCTAAAATCAGACTGAGACAAGCTTTATTCCCTCAATTTTAAAATGCAACCCCACAAATTCACATGCTATTTGAACTTGTAAAAACTGGTTTTGCTTCCTTCAATATATGTATTATCCATCAATAAAACTTCAATTAGTCAGATCAATTCAGTTGCAATGTCAATTATAATAACCAATTAAATACCAAAGCTATTTGATAAAAGCCAAAACATTATGAAAATCAGAAGCTTGACCCCCTTCTACTTTAAGAAGCAATATGCAAATAAAGAACTTCCTTGAACATGTAAAAAATGATTTGCATCCTTTAAGATCTTAGTGCTCTATCAATAGAACTTCAATATATGCAGCATTGAGTCAGACTAATCAACTACCTGAACTAAAGTGTCCACAAGAGGAAGCATTGAAAGCAACCCCCTATCATTGACATTACCAACAACCAAATCTAGAAGTTTTGCAAGAGTAGATGCGTGCAAATTGAGAAATTCAATTCCACCCAAAACTATGTAGCTTTCAATGATGCTGGCAGCCATCTGCATGTCACATTAGATGTCACGAGAATGCAAACTTCCAGAAAATGCAACTGCTGAAGAGTAACTCCAAACCTTTAAGTGATCAAAGCTTCTTTCCAAGATTTCCACTAGACATGGGAAATGGCCTAATAGCTGAGGAACTACTGTGGGGGCATGAGAAAGAGTGGCTTCCCATAGCTGCATGCCCGGTGAGATAGAAGGGGACAAAAAGAGAAAAAGGTAAGCACTACGACTAATAGGACCACTCTTCAAAATTTGATCTGAAAAGAAGTACGCATAACGACATACCTGCATGGTATCTTCCAGAAGTTCATCAGGACTATCTACACTGATCCCACTCTGTAACATGGGGACTACGATGTTGTAACAGATGGGTGATTGATAACCAAGGGCAACTACAAAGTTCCTGACTGCTGCCAGAAGCTGAATCTGCAGAAGCCTTTCACCAGAGGATTCTCCCCAGGCCTATGAAACTATATTAAATCAGCAAAGCAATCTAATATGCTGGTAGCTACGCCTTCCAATCTAATACGTCTACTGAGTAAGAGTTCTTTTTTGCCTTTTGAATGCATAACAGGACGGAAAACGGCCAGTCAATGTTATTAAATCTCAGTGTGCACCAGAACAAGAATTAGTCTTTATATTTTTCTTTTGATCCCAATTACTGTAGCATACAAACAACATGCAACTGTTACCAGCATGGGCAAAAAAAATGAAAACTCAAACGAACCATCCTATTTACATAGGGCAGATGCATGAATTCTACTCAACCTTGACTGAGATGGGTAAGAAAATACAGTGGGCAACAAGGCAATCTTATGCCCTAATAGATTTCAGAAAAGATAGCCTATGGAAATTAGTAGTAGAAATGGGAGTCAAGCCTCATTTCCACAATGAACTTATGGATTCAGTTCCAGAACTATTAATACCTAAAATCCATAGGGGCAAAGAGATCTTGTTTTCCCCCTCTTCTGTTTGTGTTTTAAAGGAAGTGGGATGGTCGAATACCTTGTACAAATCATATAACAAAACAACATATATAAGCTCAGAATCAATACCTTCTGGAAAAATTGCATCAACTTGTTTGCATAGGGATTAACTTCAGTGACCCGTG